TATAATATAATGAAATGTTTCATTAATCTGTGCTCAATGACAGAAGTTTGAAATGAATGTTATGCTATGATTACAGTGATTGAAATATGTTTCAGCATGTTTACATGACAAGGCCATCACCATTTGCACTCACACAAGGACAAAGTAAGGTTACGTTAAACTCATGACACATAAATGTTCCTCTACCCCAGATCAGAACCGCCGGTATCAATGAAGGCGTGTTTCTGAGTTGTCTTGGTAATGTTCCTCAACTTGTCAACCTCTGATTGGCTACGCAAATCATAACATGAGAACATTAAAACTGGATCACTCTGGTGATTCTTCAGTTCTAGAGAAAGCTTCAGACCGGTCATCTGAAGCAAACCCCTCTTTAACCATCAAAGATTTTGACACTTCGTCAAAATCTTTTTCCACCTGCAAAGCTGATGCAGCAACAGTTCCTGCAGGACAAGCTGATATTGTTTAGACTCCTTAAGAGTCCCAGAGGCGCGGCTCCATCCGTCTGTCGTGACCTGGAGACAACTCTGGACTGGAGAAGTCGGTGCTATGGTCAGTCTACTGGACCTGGGTGCCAGAGGTCATCCGACCTCTCTGACCTTCGGATCCACAAAGAGGGTCTCCGAAAACGGGTGAAGTAGACACACAGATAGCGTCTGATGTGTTTTTGATAATAATCAACTTCTTAGCTTAACGCAAACCAAATTCTTTTGCATCCAGAACTCAGCTCTCCTAGATACGGAGGTTCTGATAACATCACATTCACACATAGTTTCATACATCACAGTAAGCATTAGTTAACTTGACATGTTTTAATTGTTGGTAAAATAAATTCTTACTTTTATTAACCTGACTCTTTCCTGAATCAAAACGAAGTGTGTACAATCCCTTAATAAACAAAGAATCCTAGATCTTCTGATAAACACAGTAAATACCAAGCAGGTTGATCTTCTATATTTAGATAGAGAATCACAGCTTATTGGTCATAAGCAGAGGTAATATATTAGAGCTCTTAAAGCACTCAATTTACCGAACCCCTACATGTGTATGTATGTGTGTGTGTGTGCGTGCATGCGTGTGTGTGTGTGTGTGTGCGTGCGCTCATCAGAACAGGGTAAATTCTCGACTGACCGTGGTCTCTCAGTCTGAGAAGCATGATATAATCAGAAACAGACAGAATCAGACAAAGAGCGAGCAGCAGTGCTTGGCACGTAGCAGACATGTTCCAAAGACCTGCATGACGACATTTTTCTAAAGCGGATCAGAACGTCGTCGTGTGTTCTGATTCCTGTTTGCATTCAGTGTCCATGATTCAGAAAGCAGAAGAAGAGTGGGAGCTTTGGGGAAGGGGTGGTGATTAACGACGATGATTAATGGCGACAAATCGAGGCGTGTTTATCTCTCAGTGACTCGAGTGTGACATGATGTTGAATCACATCAAGATCTGCTCATTTATCAAAGTGAGTAAAAGTCTAATGTGTTAGCCCAGAAACCTGAACCAACCGCTGAAGTAGCAGGTCAGTCTAGCCATGTAGCCTCAGCAGGCCTACCATTGGCCCAAACAGTTTGTGTCTAGCCAATCACACCTCTCTATGTTTGTAGAGACGTTGGGCTGGCTTATGGAGCATTTGATTTACCTCAGAAGTCCGAACTCGGAACACCATCACACTCGAGTTTACAGCGTTCTGGTTACCTTCATCGGAGAAGTCGGGATTCCAAAATGGCGACACCCTCGAAGACTGCTGTTTTCTCAGCACTCTATGAAAACAGACTAAACACATCTGCAGCTCAGAGTTGCAAGGGTTAGGGTTAGGGGGCCGAGTCTAACCCTAGCCCTAAATGCAACACTGATTTTAAACACACTCTTGTAAGTGTGCTGGTGTAAAGTTAACATGTTGTAGCCGAACCTTACTGTGGTCGATACAGAGAGCTGACATATTGGATGCCAAGGCTGAGTTCTAAAGTTTTTCCAGCTGGGAAGTCTTACTTATGATTAAGTCAATTTTTCCCACTTGCAAGTCAAAATTTCTGAGTTCTGAGGACTAATAGAATGCATCATAGGGAGCCTAAGCCACGCCCACCTACTTCCGCACCACGGGTCCCCGGAAGAACGAAAAAATGAACGCAAGTCAACGGGTCTAAAAACGCTATTTTAACTCTGCTTGTTTTGTTCCATGGATTTCACACACGATGTCTGTGAATGTTAAAGATGCATTTTGATACCAAGAACGCGCTCATTTTCCAACAGGGGGAAACGCCGTTTTAGGTTTAGTGTGGAAATAAGTCCAGGACTACAAATGCGCTTCATGAACGTGACGTCATGGAACCAGACACGGAGACAACTGAGGGACAAGGGCTGCAAGTTCAGCAAACTTCCCACAGGAGGAAAGAACCACCATAAATCTGGTCATGTGGTGAGTAGCAGCTACGCTAGGGGGGAGGAGCTTATGTGGTGATGTCACATATGCGACGTACCGAATTCTGGTGTGTACTCATGCTAATT